GGTTGTGGTCTGTGGAGCTTTGGCCTGGCGTGTTCGCGTCGTTCGGGTTGCACTGTCTTCGAGGCACGTCGTGCCTTCCAGGGAAATGCGCCCAGCGTCCTTGTGCATTTTCAGCTCGCACCTCGTTCGATGTGTGCTCCAAGCGGCCAAAGGCCTCTGAGACTTGATGCAATTCTCGCCTCGTTGGCAACTCGCTCCGCTGGGTCTGTCGTCTGTCGTCGCGCCTGTCCCATCGCTCTTGCCAGTTGCCCCGCCAGTCCTGCCCTGCCGCTCGTGGCCCCCGCTGTTGCGGGGGCTCGCGCGGATGGTTTTGCAGTGTTCCCTCGGGCTGGTGCTCTGGAACCCGTGGCCCCCGCTGATGCGGGGGCTCTAAGGTCTGCGGTTGCATCCCGTCCTTCTGCCGCGCCACAGGTGCAAGCGCTGGATGTGGCCATTGCTCTTGTTGGCGCCACCTTGGGGGGGAGAGGAATTCCTCCTCCTCCTGCTCCTCCTGCTCCTCCTCCACCTCCTCCTCCTCCTCTTCCTCCCCCTCCTCCACCTCGTCCTCGTTGCCCCCCTTCTCCGCCCTTCTCGTGCTCCTCCTCGTCCTCCTCGTCCCCCTCCTCCTCCTCCTCCTCCTCCTCCTCTCTCCTTTTCCCCCTCCTCCTCCTATCATGGTCCTCTTCCTCCTCCTCCTCCTCCTCCTCTTCCTCTTATTCCCGTAATCGATTAATCCTCCTCCTCCTCCTCCTTGTCCTTATTCCTCCTCCTTCTCCTCTTGTTCCTGCTCCTGCTCCTCCTCTTCCTCCTTTTTGTGCCCGCACTGCTACCTTCCGTCGCCAGCCGCGGGCCATTCGCCATTGGGGTCTGCGGGTTCGTCTGCCCGCCTGGGCCGCTGCGACGCCTCTTGTGCCCGCGCTGCTACCTTCCTTCGCTGCAGCCTCCGCTGCAGCTTTGCCGACGCGGTCCTCCAATAATGCCAGTGTAACTGCTTCCTGCTGCGCTTTGCTTGACTTGGCCAAGGTCGTTTTTACGCTCGCCAAGGCGGCGCCTATCTCCCATTTCTGCTGAGTCAAATCCTTGACCCTGGACAGAAACTGTTTGCCTGCCAGGGGCCCGCTTTTGACGTCAACCGTCCACGTCCCAGAAGGGCACCACCTTGTGGTCCAAGGCCGGTTCTCGCCCCCTTCGTCCTCGACGTCATCCTCTGGCCCGGGGATGCGTGCTCCTTGCTCTTCTTGGTAGAGGTACTCCAGAAGCCACGGCAGGTCGGGCGCCGCCAGGTGTAGAACGCTGTGCTCTGTCAGATAGGCCAGAACTTCCCTGGTCTGTTTCTCGCCGGGGACAGGAGACTGGGGCACTATCGCGCGGCAAAGCGTGTTTCGAGCAAAGCCCTTCGCCTTCTGCGGCGTTTGCGCCGCCGCCTTCCGCCGCGGGACATTCGTCTTCTTCGAGAGAGACGACGCGAGGGGGGCCATGCGATCCGCAGCTCCCCCCGCTACTGCGGAAGCGCCCTCCGTAGCCCCCGCTTCTGGTGAAGCGTCTTGCGCTGGAGTTCCAGCTTCCTGGAGGGGTTGCGCGTCCCCTGTTAGCAGCTGCAGAGTCAGTGTCTCCAGGGTCGTCGTTACGTTCAGAGCCCCCTTGACGGCCGAGATGCCACCAACCACCTTGAGCAACCACAGGCGGTGCTTTCCGACAGGCGCGAAGATCTCCTCGCGGCGCTTGCCGTCCGTCTCGACGTGACGTTCTTCGCACTCCAAAACAAAGCCACTTGCTCCGTCGTGACTGCGGCGCAACCCGCCCGTCACGCAGGCCACGCCCATGCTGCCGCCATCGACGCGCGTGGCTTTCCCAACAACCACCTCCTGCCAGTCTTCGCCCGCTTTGCGTTTCATGGCAACCGCGCGCCCCCCGCAGTTGCAGGGGGCCCTGGGCGCCCAGCAGCCGCGCGGGTGTTTGAACCTACAACGGCTGTGGCACACAATCGTCTGAATTACTCCTCCTCCTGCTCCTCGGGCGTGGCGCTTTCTCGTCCTCCTCCGCTTCGCTCTCGTCCTCCTGCTCCTGCTCCTGCTCCTCCTCCTCCTCCTCGTGCTCCTCCTGCTTGTGTTCCTGACCTTCCTTCTCTTGTTCTTGCTCCAGCTCGTCATGCTCCTGTTGCTGCTGCTCCTCCTCCTCCTCCGCCTCCTGGAACGTCGCTTCCGAGCTGTTTTTCCTCCTCCCCTCTCTCCTCCATCTGTGGCTGATGAAACATGCTGGCGTTCGATCTGCCCCGCCTCCGAAAGTCGACCCCCTCTGTGACAGGGGGGGTCGGGCGGAGATCCGGGCGACCCCATCTGTGACAGAGGGGGTCGCCGCGGAAATCCGGGGGGCCCCCTCTGTCACAGAGGGCGTCGGCGCGCCAGATGCCCCGACCCCCTCTGTCACAAAGGGGGTCGGGCGGAGATCCAGGAGACCCCCTCTGTGACAGAGGGGGTCGGTGTTTGCCCCCCCGAGAGGACGGCGACGACGACGACGACGA